CATTCTTTTTATTTATTTATTTATTTATACATAATTAAAAGTAAAATGGTCATTAGCCCGAAGTCATCTCATTCATAAATTTTTTTTTTTTTACAAATATCAATAACTTATCCCCTTTGTCAAATTTATTTATTTATTTATTTATAATCAATTTATATAAATTCAAAACGTAAAAACATCAACGGTAAATTTTATTATTTAATTTTTTTATTTTCGATTATTTAATTTAAATCAACTTGTAAATTATTATTATTATTATTATTATTATTATTATTTTATGTTACAAGACAAATGTAAGGAGGTTTATCAAAAAAAAAAAAAAAAAAAAAAAAACGAACCGGAAAATGATAAAATTATTTAAACGATCATAAATTAAATAAATTTTTAACAATAATAATAATTAATTTTTACTTCTAGTCCGATTAAGACGACAACCTCATATATCGATCGATCTATCGATTATATCGATTCCGATAATACGAATAAAAATAATGAATTTTTTTTTTTTTTTTGAGTTTTTAATAATAATAATTATTTATATTATGTTTTTTTGTTTTATTAAACAATAACAAAACGTTTACATTTATTTTTATTTAAACGAATTATTATTATTATTATTTTTAATAAAAGTTATAAATAAAGACTTTGCAGGAATAATAATAAAATTATCATTATTATTATTATTAATATTTTTATTGTTAATTAAATACTCTTTAATTTAATAGTTAATAAATTCGCCCATCGAATTAAACATTGAACTGTTTTATTTTTATTTTTTTTCAATCTGAAAATTCTAGAAAATTTAATAAATGTATGTGTTTATAAATAATAATAATAATAATAATAACGACTGATTAACCGAGTACCAATTTTTTATAATGAAAGTATTACAAATAAAAAAAAAATTATTATAAACAAAAAAAAAATGTTTTTAAATTGATAAAATTATAAGAGGTTATTAACGGTGATGATGATAATTATTATTATTATTATTAGCGTTAAAAAAATTATTTTGAGTAATTTTTTGAATGAAAAGAATATATAAATTGTACAAATTAATAATAATAATAATAATAATAAACGTATTCGATTCGGTTGGTTTTTTTTTTAATATATATAAATATTGTTTTGTCCTGTTTGTTTGTAGTTAGTGAGACTGATTATTATTATTTTATATCAAATTATTTATTTATTATTATTATTATTATTATTTAATTTTTTTTTTATTTTTTTGGGGAGGTTATTACGAGTGACCGACGATAAGATTTTTTTTTTCGTCTTGTTTAAATAATGATTTATTTATTTATTTAAAAAAAAAATCCTATCGTCGCAATTTTAATAATAATAATAATTAATAAAATGACTTTTTATTCCTACTTTAATAATAATAATAATTGACTTATTTTAATATTTAAAAAATTAAAAAAATTAAAAAAAATAATAATAATATTTAAGAAACAAAAGTCTGAATTTGTAGATGAATAAAATTATTAAATTTTTTAATTAAATAAATTTATTTAAACAAAAATAAATAAATAAATAAAAATTTAAAAAAAGGAAAAAAATTCAAAAAAAAATTATAAATAAATGCATACATACATAATTTTTTTTTTTTTAAACTACAATTTCAGACGTGGATTATTATTATTATTATTACTATTTAATAACATTTAAAATATTAATAATAATAAT